CATATCAGAATCAGAACAGAGACGCCCCTGTGGGCGCAAACGTAGAATTGACAACTTTATGTACAGCTACGCTTGAACCCCAAGCAGACCCGATCGGATCGCCCTTCCTCGGGTTGTCAAGCGCAAGATGGGCCCAAGTCACCCTTCGATCTAAGCATCATTTTCCGCGAGGGCTTTCCGCACTCTCAATAGCAGATCGGCTTTGACCACCTCTGGGAGGATGGCTGATCGATGTCACAAAGTCAGGACTGTCGCCTCAAGATCCCGCGAGTCTAACCAGACTGCTCCAACCAGCGTTTGTGAATCACTTACCGCGCCCCTTGGGCGATATGTCCCGCACAATTTCGTCCACACTAAGCGCTTCGCTTGCCCGCAGCCGGACGGCCTCTGAAAAAAGGCATGTTTCCTTATTTAATTGCTGCGCAACTGCCGTGGCCTGCTGTACTGGCGGATATCGTGCTTCTCATTGGTTGCACCTTTTGCATAAGCCCGCATTTGATCCCGCCATCCACAATCGATCAGGCGCTGCCGCAAATACTCTTTCAGTCTGTTGCTGCGAGGTCAGTGGGTAGTCGGGACTCTGACGCGCGCCGCCGTGGTTCGGCGTATGCGGTGGTAAAAGCAACTGGAAGGGCTTCTTGACAGTTACCTGTCCTTCTCCCCGCTTTTGACAAGCCTCTCGTCGATAAGCACCTGCGCTGCCTGATATGCTGGGTCCATGAGAGTGCCAGGGTGTTTGTAAGAGAGGGGCTTCCAGGCTAGCCGCGGTCACACGCAATCAAGGCGGGCAAGCCGCTGTAAAATCTCAAGCGCCCAAGTTTTTTCTTTTTGCCCAATCTGACAAACGCTGTGGGTCCTTCCCCTCCATTCTTCTTTAACAAATACACACACAGACCTTCCAATCCCCCTTGTCCAGACTCCAGCGCTCGCTGCCACTCTCAACATGGCCGCCACAGACGTCGAAACCGCCTCAGTATTCTCAGACACCGCCTCCGACTTCTCTGAACTTTCAAAAGCCTCCACACTGCAAACCGTCTCCTCCGCTGCCCGCACGGTGACCGCCCCGTCCTCCCACGCTTTCACATGTCTCGCTTGCCATGTTGCATTCCGCACGGCCGATAACCAGCGTGATCACATGCGCTCCGACTGGCACAGGTACAACCTGAAGCGCAAGGTCGCAGATATTCCGCCCGTTTCCGCCGAAAACTTTGCCCAGCGTGTGCAGCAGCAACAGCAAAAGGCTGTCGAGGACGCAAAGCCCGCGTTCACGGGAGAGTGTGTTGCCTGCCGAAAGACCTACTCGAACGAAAACGGGTATGCAAACCACTTGGGGTCAAAGAAGCATAAGGAGATTCAGCAGCGGTACGATGAGCGGGTGGCCAAGGGTCTCGACCCGTCCGCGGCGGTTGGCTCGTCGTCTGGCAAAAAGCCGGCTCCCGTTGTCTCATCTGCGTCCAACACTATTGCTGTTGCGGAAGCCGCCGACTCTGCGTCTTCGTCGTCTGCCGCGCCGCAACCTACGGTCAACAACTGGCGCCAGCAGCTCGCGGAAGCAACGTCAAAAGAAGAGGTTGTGGCTATTATGGAAGCTAAAGCCAAGGCAACACCGCGTCTCACTGAACTCGACTGTCTGTTCTGTTCGCAACAATGCCAAACATTCGAAAACAACCTTGCACATATGGCTCGCGCCCACAGTTTCTTTATTCCGGATATGGAGTACCTCGTGGACATCAAGGGATTGATAAAGTTCCTCGGCGAGAAAATTGCGGTCGCTCACGTCTGCATTTTCTGTAACGGAAAGGGCCGTGCGATGCATTCGCTCGAAGCTTGCCGGAAGCACATGCTTGACAAAGGTCACTGCAAGATTCTTTACGAAGACGGCGCAGAGCTCGAGATTGCAGACTTTTACGATTTCAGCTCCACTTACCCGGACGAAGTCATTTCGGAGGGTGATCTTGAGGAGGTCGAGGGAGAAGATGGTGAGGATTGGGAGGACGTCGAATCGGAGCTGGGTGATCTTTCGAAAGCTGCCGGAGCTGTGCACATCACCGATGATGAGACGCAGCTCGTCCTGCCATCAGGCATGCGGATCGGAAACCGCCAGTACAACCGCTTCTGGAAGCAATCATACCGACCTGCGGAAGACTCGCGCGATTCGGTCGTCATCAACCAGCTTATGGGCCAGTACCGCCAGCTTGGATACCAGTCGACACCGTACGCCGTTGCTGTTGCGCATCATGAGCGGAGGATGCAGGTCAAGGCGGAGCTTGTGGCGACGCACGACTTCAAGAGCCGGACGGGATTCAAGCACAACAAGCTCCAGAAGCACTTCCGAAGCCAGATTGGATTTGGTGTCTAAACACCCAGACTGCGCCGGATGGTTTTTGGCGGACCGTTCTTTATCATACATATTCGTATCGTAATAAGATTTACTGCTGCTTCTATCAGTGATCGACGTTCGTAATTCGCATTTTTCGTGGCTGTGTAAGGCGTACGCCTCATTTGGATAATCAGAATTTGTAGACGGGCGCTGTCAGATTTCTTCCTCCACAGCTAATCCTTGAATTGCAATGCTTCCCGCGATATCCCCTGCTCGAAACGAGCGCAGAACTCAGCAACTGCAGAAGCACCAGCCGCCAGCGTCGTCCCCACGTGCAAGCCAAAGTCCACGCACAAGCGCCCAAAAGGACGCCCTTTCAAATCAACCTGCGAGGTATAGACTGCGAAATTCGTCCCTTTCTCCCCTCCCCCCCCCCCTCCCGCAACAAAGCAGTCTGAGGAATGTGATATTAATACTTCCATTTTGTTTATCGTCTAGAACGGCGGTGCCGCTTACACAGACATTATGCCTGGACTTACTTCGCGATGGCCGCGTTGCGTCCTACATCGACTTTTTCCGTATGGCTGTCCAGCCGTCCCTGCGGCGGCGCGAGACCGTAAGCCCTGACAAGACGCTTCATGAGCTTAAGGATCTGCTAACTGCCGCCGAAAGCAGTCACCGACGAGGTATGCAAATGGCTGCGGTTCTGAAAACATAAGCAACAGCCCGCATAACTCGATTCTTCTTGACAGCGGATCCCATGCTCGTCTACACCGCAACCAAAAACATAGCGCGGCATTTTGCCGCGCACAAAAACCATGCGCTTGCACTTGCTTATTACCGCGACGCGCTGCGGCATGCCAAAGACGTGGTTGATGACCCGAGCGTCGAGATTGAATCTGCGCGCAACGTTGGAGTAGAGCTCGAGGCGGATGGGCGGCAGGAGGAGGCCAGTGAGATGTATGAAGAGAGTAGGATATTAAGTCGGAGGGCTGGAAAACCAGAGGCGGAGCATGCGGCTGCCAAGAGTTTGGTCAGCGTTCGCATGAAGATGGCGAAGCAGGTGCGTCAGGCCTTTACATCAGTTCAAGCAAACATCGGCATTTTGAGTTAACAAGTTGCTGTAGATGGAAAAAAGCAAGCGTCACGAAGAGGCAATCGAGCAGTACAACTTTTGTGTCCAGATATTGCAGGAAAGTCATCCTGACGAGCAGACCTTGAACGATCTGAACTATCGCCTTGGACGTGCCCATCAGCAAATCGGCGCAATACCGACAGCTATTGAGGTACGCTTTGATTTAACAACAATTTGCCCTAGATGGGCCAGCTTTTGACGCCAGACATACTTCGCTAGTTCCTAGAAACATTTTTGCTAAAAGTCCGCAAGTACGGCGACCGTATAAAGGAAGGCTGGGCTCAGGCTGTATTGGCTTCCTGTCATGAGAGGTAAGGAGCGCTCCAATTCTCTACATACACGCTGTCGCTTCACTTGCTTGACTGGCTGATTTGCTCAATCGCAAAAATAGCGTTGGCAATCTGGCGCTCGCCTCTGAATGCCTCACCAAGTTCCTCGCAATCACGGAGTCTGATCCGTCCCAAAAGCAAGCACAAGCGCAAGCCTGCAATCATCTCGGAAACCTATGCAACCGAATGGGCGAGTATGAGCTCGCAGTGGGGTACTTTGAAAAGCATTACCAGCTCGCATGTGGCGCGGCAGGCGATCCAAGTCAGCGACCAGTCGCAGCCGGTCCTGTCGGTGATGACATTGACGCAAAACGTCCGACCAATGATGAAGCGGCTACTGCGGTTGGCATGCTCTCCGAATCAGAAGTTGCGGATCCAGCAAGGACAGCATTTGATGCGGATGTAGCTCCTGCTTCTATATCCCGTCCGCTAACTGGCGCAACTGCTGAGGACGATGACGAAGCTTCCTTATCAGCATCACTGCTATCAACAGCCACACGCTCCGTGCGCAAAACTGACGCTGTTGGGCTTGCACAAGTCCAATTGGGGATCTCGCGGGCGAATGCGCATATGGATCAGTTTTTCAAGCTTGTGGAGGATGAAAAGCGGCTCGGGGATTTGTTGCGATGGAAGGCGACCCATGCCGTTGAGATTTTCGACGCTGCTGAGCCTCCAAAGAGTCGGCCAAAGCCATGAACCAAATTGTGTCTGAAGACATGGTATCAATATATAATTGCTACCCTCACCGTGAGATGTTGAGGCACGAAATGTCCTGCGGCCGATTACGGCCGACGTCCCTCCGTCTGACAGCTCAAGTCCCCGGCACGCACGTGGCTTCTAGACGTCCTTGTGAACAAAAAGTCGTTGCAGAAAGGCCAAAGTGGTCATGGAGGCGGAATGCCCGCGACATCATCGACGTCTGAAAGAACCAGCTTCAGCAGGAAGCTAATGGATCATGATCTTGTTTATCAATGCTTTACAGAATCGAAGAGGCCCTGTTGCGGCGGAAAGGGCCGGCGGGCCAGGCCCACCGTCCCTTTCGATGCTTCTTACGCCACAGGAAAGCGTCGTCTGTGGTCACGTTTCCGTCGAGGACGGCCTCCAAGAGCTTCGTTTTGCCCAGCATTACAGCGTGTATTTTCACCTCGGTGGTTCTGCAGTCCAGCTTCGCGCGTGAGCTGTCATGAGCCCGCTCAAATTGAGCAAAAAAGCTGCGCGACCTGACTGGGGATTGAACCCAGGATCTCCCGCTTCGGAGGCGGACGCGGTGCCACTTCGCCATCAGGCCGACGATAGAGAGTCAGAGGGGCTTAGCAATTATGTAAAAAGCGTGCCGGTCTTTCCCGCAATGAGCACACCGTACAATACTCGGTCAAGCGGTTTTTCCCACCGTCGCCTCGTGACCGTGCTGTCGCTCGTTTGTTGTTTGCCCCGGCGTTTTTCCCTCACTCATCCTCCACTCTCATCTGCATCTCCCCAAAAGGTAGGACCGCATACGCTGGACCTGTCCCGCTGCATCATGCGCTAATCAATGTTTCCGGTGAACGTCCAGCATCCTGCAATGGCATCCGCACTCCGCATCTCCTCGCTTGCCTCGCGCATGGCTGTCCGCTCGGTCGCCCGCCCCTCGCTGCTCGCCGCACCCGTCCGCGCCTTCTCGCAGTCGGCTGTTGCCCGCGAGAACCACCCGCAGAGCCTGTACCGGTTTACCGAGGATGAGCAGATGCTCCAGGAGTCGGGTAAGCCCTCACCAAGCCGAAGGGTCAGGAGGCCGTGGATAAAATTCATTTTGAGAGCCAACCGAGCAAGCTGTTTGCTCGCGATGCGGCCTGCTGGGGATGAATTCACCTTTGGGCATGATCTAAATTAGTCTTCGTCTCGCGCTAGTCCGCAAGTTTGCCAACGAGGTCGTCAAGCCCCGCACTTTCAACATGGACGAGACGGAACACCTCGACCAGGTTGTCTGGGATGGCATGTTCGAGAACGGCCTGATGGGTATTGAGACACCCGAGGAACTTGGCGGTGCCGGCATGTCTTTCACTGCGGCTATTCTTGCCGTCGAGGAGCTCTCCCGTATCGACGCGTCCGTCTCGGTCGCCTGCGACGTCCACAACACGCTGGTCAACACTTTGCTCCGCCAGCACGGCAGCGACTACCTGAAGGAGAAGTACCTCACCCGCCTTGCGACTGACACTGTCGGTTCGTTCGGTCTCACCGAGGCTGGTTCCGGCTCCGACGCGTTCGCTCTTGCCACAACCGCAACCAAGAAGGGAGACAAGTACATCATCAACGGTGGAAAGATGTGGATCACCAACTCGGGTGAAGCCGGCATCTTCCTTGTATTTGCCAACGTTGACCCGTCCAAGGGTTACAAGGGCATTACATGCTTCCTCGTTGAGAAGGAGTGGGGCGTGACCATTGCCAAGAAGGAGAAGAAGCTCGGCATCAAGTGCTCGTCCACCTGCGAGCTCAACTTCGAGGACATCGAGGTCCCCGCCGAAAACATTGTCGGCGAGATCGGCAAGGGTTACAAGTACGCCATTGAGATCCTTAACGAGGGTCGTGTTGGTATCGCCGCGCAGATGATTGGTATCGCGCAGGGTTCTCTTGACTTGGCCCTGCCGTACATGGCCCAGCGCAAGCAGTTCGGCACCGCAATTATCGACTTCCAGGCATGTGGCTCAAAAGATGCTTCTCACCCGGGAGTGACTAGGGACTAACTTTCACGGGGTTGCAGGGTATTGAGCACCAGGTCGCCCAAGTTGCCACTGAGCTCGAGGCTGCCCGTCTGCTCACCTACAACGCTGCTCGTCTGAAGGAGGAGGGTGCGCCGTTCGTGAAGGAGGCCGCTATGGCCAAGTTGTACGCCTCGCAGATTGCTGAGAAGGCTGCGTCCAAGGCGATTGAGTGGGTTGGTGGTGTTGGTTTCACTCGTGACTTTGGTCTCGAGAAGTTCTACCGCGACGCCAAAATTGGAGGTAGTTTCCTTATGCACTTCATTGCTACTTCGTTTTGTTGCGGATCGCTAAGTGACCTTTTTTTTGTTTGCGCTTGTCAGCCATCTACGAGGGTACCTCGAACATCCAGCTCCAGACCATCGCCAAGATCATTAAGAAGGACTACCGGTGAACGGCTTCTTACTTGGTGGGGGACTTAGAATCATATCCATTTTCATTCATTAAAAAGCAACCTGTGAAGAGACTGTTGAGAGTGTGTCAGAAAAATGTTCAACCTTCATCCGGATTTGACACCGCGGCAGTTTATGACGTCGCCGAAATGCACAAGCAGGCGTTTTCGGCGATACTGAGCGTACCTGACAAGTAAAACGTGTCTCAGACCTTGCGCGGCTTCCAATGGCCGCTCGTTGAGCAGGGCTGGCAAAGAAGGGGCGAACAAGGGTGGACAGGAATTATCTTTGCGGCGTTCTAAAATTGACGCAGCAGAAGCAGAGGGTTGCGAACTTCTTAGCGTTCTTGACGAGGAAAATCTGCACGCCAGAGCATGCATAAGGCTCAGTGTGGGCGACGTGTGGCGGGCTTGATTCACAAGGTTATCAGGGAAGGTACATAAATATAGTGGGGTGTTCGATTGGCGCAGCGCAAACGCAGAGAAACTAAAACCAAACAATAAGAAATATCTGGCAGCGGGAGCCTTTAGAGCAATGAGAAGAGGTGAAAATACAAGTTAGAGCCAAAGAGCGTGGCCGGGGCAGTTCATTTCGCCTGACATTTATGAACCACCTGCCTCCTTTTTTGGTCAGCTTTCGGACAGAACGTATCTGATAAGTCACGTGGTTGTCATGTCCGCGAGCTGGTTCTTGCCTTGTTCCCTCCGTCCCAGTTGGTCATTCCGTCGGCCAGCGCTGCCGAGACTGCAGACCACAATAACAAGTCATTCGCTTCGCGGGTGCCGGACGTGATAACCGCCATGCCGAAAAATCATACGCCAAAGGGGTAAATTAGGTTTTGGCGCGGGTGACATTCTGGGCTCAATACTAATGCCCAGCTTCGTCGCCGCGGCCGTCCAGAACAAAGCCGATTACAACATATTTCAATAGGTATGATGAAGCATGGTGCAAATGACTATTCCGAGATGCTAAATGCTTGTTTTCATTTAAATCAGCGTTCCTCCTGGGAAAGGGTGCGTTTGCCAGCTTTCGATATCGGGGCGTTGTCGGAAATTCTGAACCAACTCCGGACCACTTTGCAGGAACAACCTTATAACGAGCTTTTTCGGAAGGAGTGACGCTCTGGATGACCGGGAAGGTGGGCTTCTAGAGCCTTTTTGGGAGCGGACAACGCGAAATGCCAAACTTACGCTCGGCTCTGGTCAAGGAGGAGCGTCGGAAAACACCGCACCAACAACCGGCCAATCTAGCCGAGCGTCTTCGCCGGAATCAACGACGCCGCGGCCAAAAAAGCGACCAAAGCTTGATTACGTGCCGCCAGAGTCAAGTCCACACGTCACTAGAGCGAGGACTAGGATCACTTTGGCGAACACATTGAATCCGCCCGCAAACGAAGCTGGCAGTCCCGTACCGAAGAAGACCTCGCCCGCAATAAGCCCTTTGCGGAACGTTAATCTGGCAACTGACTCGCTGCTTTTGTCCGATGACGATGATTCCGATTTGATCGCACCGAGCGCGCTCTATGCCGCGTTAGCGAGCGAGGCTGTGAAGCAAATGTATATGATCGGAAGAAGCTCTGACTGTCTGTGTTCTGAGGCTAACGCCGCGCCCCTCCTGCAGCCCACCGGAGCCGACACGTCGCTCGGCGCGCGCGAAAAAGTCGATAAACTATTCAGCCCCACCGCTTGACGTCTTTCACGACCGAGCGCTGTTCCAGCGCGCGGAGCAGGAGGAAAAGCTACAAAAGCTGCTTGCGCCTCCGAAACGCAAGACCTTTAACATCGACGCGCTACTGGCTGACAAGCGCAAGCAGGAGCGGCGGGCCCGCGAATCTGAAGCGCTTGAGGTCTTGATGCAGCAGGTGTGTGAGCAGACAAGCACGGTCTCGAATGACTAGGACGGTCGTATGGAATAGCGTTCTCACCCAATGCGCTCGGCGTGCGCTTTGCATTCTTGCAGGAAGAGCAAGAAGGAAATTCTATCCTTGCTGATTTTGACGAGCTGCCGGACAGCATCGTTCCGGAAGAGGCTGTCGACACTGTAAAGGATGTGAGTACGAACCCGGAAGTTCGACATCTGCCGAATTGCATATTGATGTGGGCATTTCCCGTAGATGATGAGTCAGAACAGCGCACCATCGTCCAGGCCGATGGTCATAAGTATATTACGCCCATCCGTATGTTTCCATCATTGCACGCTCATTTTGGTGGGGTAACAATCTGACGCCTTCTTGATATCAGGTTAACAGAGAACCGGACGCTCCTGCACTGGGTCAGGACTCGGTGCTGCCATCTGCGCTTTTGGCGGTCATGAAAGGTGCCATGTAAATGCTCACGGGCACGCGCTTGGAGAAACATTTGCTGAGTCTCAATTTTCAGACAGAAACCGATTTGTCCCGCTTGTTCGCACATCGGTGTTTGAGCGCCTCATCAGCAAGTCATCGGAAGCCGCGAAGGGCATTCTACTTTGGATGTCGGGTATAGGTGTGTAAAGGGTTTTGCCGTGCTGTTTTGACTGTTTATTCCGTGACTAATCAAGCTGCTGTCCACCCAGCCTGCTTCGATCAGGATAAAGATGTTTCTGCCGCAGCTATGCGTAATCTCGCGCATGTCCTTAGTAATGTAAGATTTCAGTAAAACTGTTCGTTTGGCATGTTTATTTCGATCTCATCGGTGAGCGCGCAGACGTCCAATCCATGGCATTATACCATTCCTGAATTTGTCGAGGCGCTGGGAGTCCTCGGCTATCCAAGTGCGCGGCTAAAGATGGACGACACGGGCGCTCAGCTCCCGGAATTTTTGGAAGAATCTCCCTCAAAGGACGCTAAAAAAACATCGGACTATGATACGAAATCAAAATATCGGCTTGCTTCCAAGCGCATTATAAAATTGATAGGAATGTCTGTCAAACATCGGTACGGATTACCTGAAAATCTGATGTGATTCCCGCGCTGCTGCTAATCTTTTGTTTCTCGCACTGGATGCAGTTCCGCTTCATATACTTCAGCGGAGCTTCTCGATCTCGCCTGGATTTTGTCAGTTGTCTCCCTCGATCACGACATTCAACGTGTCGCAGCAAATGTCGTGGGTGATGCGCTAGCAATCGTGATGGAGACGCTTGCGGCGCTTCCAAACTGGCCCGCAAGCCGTGCGGGGCTTTGC